TTTGAGAACAGATGCACACAAAACCAAAAATGAGCTCACCAAAATGATTGCATTAAAATTTGGAGACTTCTTACCTTCAAGCAAAAATAGATTTGTTCAAGGCACTTTTAAGCTCTTGGCTAGATACTGCCAAGCACTTAATTTTTTTTCTGCAGCATATCACCTTGAAACAGACACTCCCTTGGCAAAGTTTAAGGACAATCCTTCAATACATTGGCTGCAGGTGTCAAAGAAGGAGCAGGGTGTGAAAATATTTGCAAAGCTACAAAGCAATTCCTGCTCAAGTGTTAGTAATTTACATCCAAGTTACTTAATCATCTGTACACAAGATGCCTAAATGAATAAGTAGCACTTGTATTAAAACAAGAGGAATCTTGCTCTACCACAGGCTTTAAAAGCAATGACCTGAGTAAGAGATGAAATTGTTGTATTTCTTTGTAACACTCGTCCAAGAAACCACATCCTTCCTTAGAATTTCTAATTCATGTTCATCCAAATAAATCATCTCATGTCACAAACTAATTCATTTGATGTGTTTGGTTTTAAGTGTAGTTTGACTAATTACTAATTCTTCCTAAATCATGATTGCTTCAGAACAAAGTTTCTGGCCTTTTCTCTCAAACTAGATTAAAGAGAAAGGGAGAAGGGATAGTTATTTTGAATACAATTCCCAGATTGATGAGAACAGCAGTAAGTCAGATAATATATATTTAATTCTATTTTAATATTGATATGCTCGAGATTTAAAATTGTATTATTCTTTAATTGTTGTGAACCACTTTGCATCTCAATTACAGAGATAAAATGGGATACAAATAAACATAATAATAATTATCATAAGTTGGCAACTTTGGGCCTCCAAGTGTTTTTGGAGTGCATTTTCTATAATCTCTCACTTTTGCCCATGCTGATTATTGCTGATGAGGATTTGTAGTCCAAGAATATTTAAAGGATCACAGTTGTTCAGCCCTGTTTTAAGGGGAAGTCTATTGCCAGACACAAAAGCCTGCGTATTTCTGTACCAGTCTAGTTAGTCTGATGTAGTGGTTGGACACAGTTCCTCTGCTGAGTGCTACATGGATATTCCTTTCACTGCTGCATACAGAGAATGAGTTTGGTTAAAGCAAGTGCCAAGTGGGAATTAGGTCATGAGAAGATGGTGTGCCTCCTCTCAACCTCCTGCATTCCCCATTTGGTTATCCCACTCCTACTTGAATAGTATGATAATAATGATAATAAACTTTTATTTGTATATTGCTCTATCTCCCTGAGGGGACCCAGGGTGGTTTCCAGCATAGGTAAAGCACTGCAATTACCGACATAAAAACCTACAGAATAATCATTATAAAACAAAGACATAATACTATATAACAGTGGTACATATTTAAAATTGAAAGCCAGTTTAATAATAATTTCCATCAGGCAGGTTCAGTTACCAATGGCCAGAATTCCAGAGAGGACCGCAATAACTATGAGAGGGATGGGCTAGTCCTATGAAGTAGACTAGGGCCTCGGGAATTGATAAAGTGCAAGCATGGTCCTGCCTGATGATCGGGGAGGGACCTGGAGCTATTTATTTCCAAGGCCTGCTGCACAGCTATGAGAGGACTGGGCCAATAGGGTAACATAGGGCCAGGGAAGTGGGTAAATGTCGGAGTTGCAACCTTTTGTAAAGGCACTCAAGACTTGGCTGTTTGGTTGTGCATTTAAGTAATCAGATATAATTTGCCAAATAGTCACTGTTGAATGTTTTTATGTTGAATGTTTTTATATTGTGTAAATGCTATTTTAGATGGTAAGTCACTTGGAGCACCTTGGTGGAGAGCGACTAATTAAGAAATAAAGTGAAGTGAAGTAAAGTGCAGAACAGGGCCCTAACCAATGGCCAGGGTAGTGCCTGGGACTATTCATCTCCAGGACCAGCTGAATAGCTATAATAGGGATGGGCCACAGCTAGTACAATGAGGTAGCAGAGGGCAGGAAAGTGGGTAAAGTGCAGAGCGGGGACCTAACTAATGGTCAAAGTAGGGCCCGGGGCTAATCATTTCCAAAAGCCTGCTTCTGCCCTAATTGGTGTAGCCATATAACAGGGAAGAGCAAAAAAAGTAGCTGGAAAATTGCTTAATAAAATTTGCATATAGGAAACCTCTTAAATGCTAGAAGAATGAAGCAGAAGTCAATGGGCAATGTAAGAAAGATTGCACAAATAAGTCTCTTATGGGCCTACAGATCTTACCTATGCAATGCATGGTGACTCAAGGAAGGGAAACCATCTTTCCGGTTTATTGTTTAAGATTCTGCAAAAAGAATCCAAACTATGTGGCGGAATGGGAAGCACAACACTACTTGACAAGTGGCAACTTAGTAATTTTGGGTATTATCCAACAAACTCCAGCAGAGGTCACTACAAACATTGATGGAAAAGGTTTTATGTTGATAATTAGACACATTTCAAAATAAGCGTGAATGTAAAACTGTAATGCACAAGAATAAGTGTTTGAATCAGAAGAGAGGGAAACTACTTTGTTTTTGTCACTTTTTTTCATTATAAGAACTCATTCTTAAAAGCCAAGAGAAAGAAAGAGAGTTAAAATCATTAGCAAAGATGAATAAATGTGTCTGGAACACACTGAAGCATGCATTGTTATGCACCTGAACTTAAAATGCAGGTCAAATAGTTTCAATCTAGCTTCAGCTGCGGGGCACAAACGAAGGCCAATTTAAGTTGCCTGCCAACTAGGATAGTACAATCCATCCATATCACTCTCCCATCTTAGTTCTCCTGTGGCAAAGTGCTTATTGGAAAACATGTGGAAGAGGACACTTCTAAGTGGCACAAGTTCAAACAACCCTGTGAGGAAACTGATGGGACAAAACTGAATGGAAGTTCTGAGCCAAGCTTCTGAGCAGAGAAACAAGAAGCCACACCAAGAATGCTTTGCTGGGTCAGAAAATGGTCACGAGAGTGCCATTCACAATTTCTGGGAACCACATCCAGTGAGGAATTTGCATATGTTCAGCCTGGAAAAAAAGACTGAGCAGTGGTATGAGGGATCCTCTCACCTCTGCAGGAGTCTACCGTATACCATGCAGCTGTGGACAAGTCTACATAGGGACCACCAAACGCAGCATTGCCCAGACACGAATCAAGGAACATGAAAGGCACTGCAGACTACTTCAACCAGAGAAGTCAGCCATAGCAGAGCACCTGATGAACCAACCTGGACACAGCATATTATTTGAGAACACAGAAATGCTGGACCACTCCAACAACCACCATGTCAGACTACACAGAGAAGCCATTGAAATCCACAAGCATGTGGACAATTTCAACAGAAAGGAAGAGACCATGAAAATGAACAAAATCTGGCTACCTAGTATTAAAAAACTCTAAAATTACAACAGCAAAACAACAGAGAGGAAACAACCAGGCACAGATTAACACCTCCCAGCAGGAGATTTTCCCAGGCTCAGGCAGGCCTTCAAATGCTAATGAAGGTGATCAGCTGAAACATTCACACCTAACTGCAGCAGGGAGGAGCTCCTTGCCCCACCCCAGCCATTCCACAGATATATAAACCCATTGTTCTAATTCCAACAGACCTCACAACCTCTGAGGATGCTTGCCATAGATGTAGGCGAAACATCAGGAGAAATGCCTCTAGAACATGGCTCTATAGCCCGAAAAAACCCACAAGAACCTAGTGATTCCAGCCATGAAAGCCTTAGACAATACAATAGATCATACTATTCTATTCAAAAGTGACATGGTACACCTTGGGTCAAATGATTCTAATGTATTGTCAAAGGCTTTCATGGCTGGAATCACTGGGTTGTTGTAAGTTTTTCAGGCTATATGGCCATGTTCTAGAAGCATTCTCTCCTGACGTTTCGCCTACATCTATGGCAAGCATCCTCAGAGGTTACCCGAAAGGAATGATGCCTTGGACTTCTTACCAGAGCATACCATAAAATTGTGCTGAGGGACCTATAGATGCCTAGAGAAGTGTCCTGTCATCTGAGGTGAACCACAGAATTATACCAGAGGCTTAAAGAAAATACTTCTCTAGGCATTTTTAGGTCCTCCAGTGTGATTCTATCATATGCAAAGCTCTTTGTAAATACCTGTATATACTCGAGTATAAGCTGACCCCAATATAAGCTGAGGCACCTAATTTTACCACACAAAAAACTGGAAAATGTGTTGACTTGAGTATAAGCCGAGGGTAGGAAATGCAGCAGGTACTGGTAAATTTCAAAATAAAAATAGATACCAATAAAATTTTATGTAAATATTCAAATGTTTTTGAATATTTACATAAAATTGTAATTTAAGATAAGACTGCCAAACTCTGATTAAACCATTATTCTAACCTTCTTCAATATAAATGTGCTTATGTATCCTTCCAATAATAACAGAGTAAAATAATAAATGTAATAAAAGTAATAATAATAATAGAGTAAAATAATGGAAATGTAATAATAAGAGTAAAATAATAAATCTAATAATAACAATAAACGTTAAATAATAAATGAAATAATAGCAACAATAAGGTAAAATAATAAATGTAATGATAATAAATAATAAATGTAATAACAATAATAGAGTAAAATAATAAATGTAATATAATAATAATAGAGCAAAATAATGTAAATGAAATAATAATAAATAGAGTAAAATAAAAAATGTAATAAAATAAGAATAATAACAGAGTAAAATAATAAATAACTTTGACTTGAGTATAAGTTGAGGGGGGATTTTTCAGTTTAAAGAAAGGGCTGAACACTAGGCTTATACTCAAATATATATATGGTAATGTGTGTGTGTGTGTGTGTGTGTGTATGTGTATGAGAAACCATATATATCCTGCCCACATAATAGCTGCACCTTCACTACTTTATAGACTTTAGCCAGATACATAAAAGCCTGAAATATAACTAGAAATCTTGTGGAAAACAACTAGAAATGTTATATTAATGAGACTCTGAGCAATACTTACAGGCCACATGATAATCAGCCTTCTGGCAATGTATTGGTTAATGCTCCAGTAACTGAATGGAAGGAATGTAATGTAGAAAACTTCTTGGCCCATTGCAGATGATATCCTGAACAGGTAATAGTAGAAATAATTCTTGACAACATAGTCCTGCGGCATGTCCTAAGAGAGAAGTATATATATATTAGTAAACATGATAAGTTCTCCTTAGGGTTGAGTCAGAAATGACTTGAAGACACACAACCACAACAACAACAACTGGGTACTGAGATAACCACAGACAAACTTAAAGATGTAAGTGTGCCACATTGTTTCAAATTGATCTATTAAACACTGGCATTTATAAATTACAATAATTCTGTCTAAATAACAAAAATCCATTTGCTATCATTAGTATTTTAATTGACAGAAGGATACACCAGATTTTTGTCTACCATAATATGCAAAAAAAAAAAACAGATCTTGAATATGTCAGGAAATATGGTCTTAAATCAATTACATTGAACTTACAAAAAGTAAACTGCCATTCTGGGAGAATGGTGGCCAGCTATAGCTCAACTAGCAAATCACCACCAGCAGCAATAAGATCTACCAACAGAAAGGTTGCCAATTCAAAGCCCGGGTTGTTGTGAGCACCCGACTGTCAGCCTAGCTCACTGTTTACCTAAGCAGTTCAAAAACAGCTTAAAGCTCCAGCAGAGAAATTGGGTACCGCTAAAAGAAAAAGACCAGAAATGCCGCAAGCAAAAGGAAGGAGGAAGTCCTGATGGCTCATCATCATAGAGGATGGAGCAACAGCACCCCCTGTGCCTAGCTAAGAGCACAATCTCCAAGGCACAGAAAAACTGGATATTAACACAACATACCACTTTTCTGGCTGTTCTGTCCTTGTCTGTCCAAACAGCATTGAATGTTGGTTGTGTATGTGTATTATGATCTGCCCTGAGTTTCTTTATTATTATATTAGAACCCAAAAATATTACAAATTAAAAAAACAACAACACTGTATTCCAGAGGATTTGGGGTGGCTTGACTAATAACTACCATCAATCACAGTTATTATGGCAAATGGTAAGAGATGGTAGCAGTTACAGCCCAAATCATTTAGAGAACAAAGGGCTGTCTAGTTTTCACTTCTGCTAAAGATTTAGACTCCGTGCTGTAACTTGGAAGACTCAAGAACAATTTAAGTGAGTGATAAATTGGTTAACACTGGGAACTGGGTTTAAACTAGTGAGAAAGGCAATTTGTTCATACACAAACCAGACAAATCCATGATCTACTGTATATAAACCTGAATAATCTTCATTACTAGAGGTAATATTTTATTGCTTCTTCTAAAACAATCATTGGCTCTGTGCTATTTTAATTGCTGATTCTACCACTCCCTTCGAGTCAAGGATATTAATTCACTACAATGTGCATTTCCACATTTTTTGCAACATAAATTGCAACATTTTTTGCAACACAAATAAGGTGAAGCAAACAGATGAGGGAAATAAAGACATTGTTCAGTCACAACTTCAACAATGCTAAATGAATATAACTTGAGCTATAAACTAGATTAGATTAAGAAGGCAGGGCAACAAAATTATTAGCTGAGGCAACTCTTTTCATAGATTCTTTCCTTTTCCAGGATGATGCAAAGGTTGTTCAGTTGCTTTTTTCGATGAGTAATGAGTATACTGCATTTCCTTCACTCCAAGATTATTTATTGTTCCTGACCCAAATATTAAGAGAAGACACAATACACTTAGGAATCCAAAGCCTAATTTTGGATGAATTAAAACAACAAGCATGCAAGGTAATCAGAAGAATACAATAAGGATATTCCTTTGTAAGAATGTTAATTTGATTTCATTGTTTGATACAAATATAACCAGAGCTTAGAAAATAATAATCCAGTAAAATAACAAATAACTTTGACTTGAGTATAAGTTGAGGGGGGATTTTTCAGTTTAAAGAAAGGGCTGAACACTAGGCTTATACTCAAATATATATATGGTAATGTGTGTGAAATGTGTTAGAAAAGTGACATCATCTAGAACTCTGCTACTAAAATTGAGGGTCCTGAGCCCAAACTCAGTGTTGGGGGTCACAAAAATATTGTCAACAGTAGAAAGTTTCTAAATGTTGAGTGATTTCAGTAACCACTAAAACAGTGGGTCCAGAGGCCCAGCATGTGACCATACACCAAAGGTCAAATCAGGACACAAACAAGATTGAAGGCACAGAGAACAGAGGTTTATTCTTTTAGGCCCGAAAGGATGACAGAATAGAGTCTGCACTCTCAAAGATCTGATATGCTTCACTGGAAAATATTTATTCATTTTTGACAGCTATTTGAAATATTCTCACCAGCTTCTGATTGGCTTAAAAAATGGCACAGCTAGGATCCGACCTCCAATTGTCTGGTGATTCCCTTTGATGTTATCACTGGCTGGCATTTCCCCATGGCAAGAAAATGAATAGCTGTCATTTATTGGTTGGAAGTCTGAGTCCATTCGTTTTTCCACCCCCCCCCTCCCCCGCCCCCAAGAGGAGCACAGAAACCAGGAATTTGATAATATGTAAATGAGTATTTGATGGACTAAACAATTCCGCTCAGGTATGCACAAAGGGGTAGGTCCAATAAAAGAAAATGATACATTATGAGTGATAAATAGTACAATGGATGAAATCTTTTTCACAACTTGTGCGCTAATTCTAATCAATGGATATCAATGGAAAGCTGGAAAACCCCCTCAATGACAGCAGGAAACATGTTAATTGAATAGGAACCTATCAATGGGAGGAAGTTTCGGTTAATGAGTGAACTCACCATACTCCCAGGCAGAAAGTTCCACTGCTGAACAGCTCTTACAGTAAGGAAGTTCTTCCTAATGTTCAGATGGAATCTCCTCTCTAATTTGAACCCCTTGCTCTGAGTCCTAGTTTCCAGGGCAATAGAAAACAAGCCTCCTCCCTCTTCCTTATTACATTCTTTCATATATTTATACATGGCTATCATGTCTCCTTTCAACCTTATCTTCTCTTAAATATACCCAGTTCTTTAAGATGCTCCTCATAGGGCATGGCCTCGAGACATTTGATCATTTTAGTCGCCCTCCTCCGGACACCTTCCAGCTTGTCAATATCTCTTTTGAACTGTGGTGCCCAGAATTTGACACAGTATTCCAGGTGATGCCTGATCAAAGCAGAATAGAGGGACTCAATGACTTCCCTTGATCTAGACCAGGCATCATCAAACTGCGGCCCTCCAGCTGTTTGGGCTTTCAACTCCCAGAATTTCTGACAACTGAACAATCTCATTAGGGCTTCTGGGAGCTGGAGGCCCAAACAGTGGGAGGGCTGCAGTTTGAGGATGCTTGATCTAGACACTATACTCCTTTTGACACAGCCCAAAATCCCATTAGCTTTTAGTTGCTGCATCACACTGTTGGCTCATGTTCAGCTTGTTATCCATTAAAACTCTAAGGACTTTCTCACATGGACTGTTGTCAAGCCAAGCATCACCCATTATGTATCTTTGCATTTCATTTTTTTTCTGCTGTGGAGTAACTTACATTTGTCATTGTTGGAATTCATTGTTAGTTCTGGCCCAGCTCCCTTAGCTATCCTTCCTAATGGGTGTCCTCTGCAAATTTGATAAGCATGCCCTCTAAACCTTCATCCAAGCCATTAATAAAATTGTTGAACAGAACTGTGCCCAGGACAGAACCCTGCAGCACTCCACTAGTCACGTCTTTCTGGGATGAAGTGGAAGCACTGGTGAGCACCTTTTCGGTTTGGTCACAACCCTTCCATCACAATAGAAAATGAGATACTGAATCCTTCCCATAGTTTGTCTCCTTCTTTCCTTTCTCCTGTATGATTACAATACGAGAAATCAAACCAGGCTGGGAAGACATGTTTTTCAGTCTTTCTGCTTTCTTATGGTTGTAACAGGGAAGAGGGAGGGGCTGCCAAATATATTAAAGCAGATCAAATATTTGCTTGTTCCTCCAAAGGTTGTGCAAATAAATTTGCTTTTAGGTAGTTCCTGAATAGAGAAAGGATGAGGACAAGTGAATTGCAAACAAAAAAGTGTCACACCTCAAGTTTGACCATTGACAAAATCCTGACATTTGTGATATCCCTTCCCTTTAACTATGGAGTGTCAAAAGTAGTAGTTCACTCACTGAATTTAAATCCCAGGTGGGAATGTACTCTGGGAAATGGCCCTTGGTTCCTGAGGAATTTAGAGCCTGATCACTCCACATAAGCAGGACCTTCAAAACAGATTTCTAAAATAATTTGAAATCACTCGCTGCCTCACTGTCACATAGGCAGTGACCTCCTGAAATGGCTGCAGCCTCTAAACCAGTGGTTCCAAAACTTTTTTTGGCCAGGGCCTACTTTGACCAGGGCCCACTCTCCAACATTAGTACCAAAAGGGACAGGGCTGGTTAGCTCTGCAGAAAGGAGTGGAAATAAAATAAATAAAGAGGAAGGTTTGTGGACCGGATTTTCATTCTCGCATTCCACTGCTGGGCTGCGCCCCACAGGTTAAGAACCACTGCTCTAAACTGTCTGCAAAGGGGGAATTTAATGGAGTGTATTTGAGTAGTCCAACTGAAAGAAATCATGAAGGGCATGGGTTACTGGGACCAGATTATGTGGAGGCTAACATTAGTTGGGGGGAGCCCCCAGTGGTGCAGCAAACACTAAGCTGCTGAACTTGCTGACCAAAAGGTTGGTGGTTCAAATCCGGGGAGCGGGGTGAGCTCCTGCTGTTAGGCCCAGCTTCTGCCAATCTAGTAGTTCAAAAACATGCAAGTGTGAGTAGATCAACAGGTACCGCTTTGGCAGGAAAGTAACAGCGCTCCACGCAGTCATCGTGGCCAATTGACCTTGGAAGTGTCTATGGACAATGCAGGCTCTTCAGCTTAGAAATAGAGATGAGCACCACCCCCCAGAGTTGGACATGATTAGACTTAATGTCAAGGGGAAGTCTTTAACTTTACTAACATCAGTTGGCTATAGGCAGTTGTTGCTTGATCCTCCAGTGTCAGCTTTGAGTCATGTATTTGTCCCTACTTTGGTACTTGCTCTGTTGTAGTGACTGGTACATAAAAAACCACCTGACCACAAAGCCTTTCATCTTTGGATTTAAATTCCAT